TTTTCTCCTCCCGCTTCCCCGGGCCTCCGGCTCCGGAGTTGCGGGGAGAGGGGAGCCGTGTCTGGCTCGGACCGCTGAGCTGGCGGAAAGGGTCTGGGGAGGAGAGGTCGCTGCAATTAAAGAGCAGCATCTGGTTCAAACGTGAGCTCCAGGCCGCCCTGCGATTTGTATTTTTAAAATTTTTTTTTAAGTTTTGCAATTTTGGGAAACTAGTTCCAAAGAAATAAACCCGGAATTTGAGCAGAAGCGTGCCAAGTTGATGTAAATGTGTTTGGCTTCGCCTTTAATTAGTCCTCCGAAATGTTGCAAATCCGTAATCCTATCTCCGCAATCCGATTGGGAGGTATTAGATTTCTGAGAAGTCGGCCGAGCTGCGGTGCATCCGGGATTTCTCGGCCGGGTGCACTTTCTGGAAAAGCGCCGCGGCTCCGGTTTGGGGGAACGTTTTCGGAGGGGCGGAGTGCCCGGGCCAGCCGCGGCTTTTCCTTCGTCCTTCTCGGGAGGGGAAAATGCCTTCCCTCCCCTTGCTCTCTCCCGCCTGGCGCCTGAAGCGCAGCCACCCGGGCTGGAAGCGAGGAGCCGCCGCCGCTGCCCGGACCTCTCCGGGTGGAGGGCCCGACCGCGGTGGTCGGATCCGAACACCCGGGACCAACGTGACCCGGCACCCGGGGGCCCACAGGGTTCGGGCCGAGGCCAGGATGGCTTCCAATGCCCACTAAGAACCGGACTCGGGAGTTGGCGCTCCCGCTGCGTTCCGAGGAGGGGGAGGGGTTGCCCTTAGCTCTGCGCCCACCAGCGGAAGCCTGAGTTTGGGCCTCGCCGCCCCGCAGATCCCGGGGCGCGGGGACAGTGTCCTCCGGTCGCCCCGGTGGCAGTGGGGACCGTGGCCCACTCTCACCTTCTTTCTGCCTGTTGCCTGCAGGGTTCTCCCTACGACCACACGCCGGGCATGGCGGGCTCCTTGGGGTACCATCCCTACGCGGCGCCCCTGGGCTCCTACCCTTACGGGGACCCCGCGTACCGCAAGAACGCCACGCGGGACGCCACTGCCACGCTCAAGGCCTGGCTCAACGAGCACCGCAAGAACCCCTACCCCACCAAGGGCGAGAAGATCATGCTAGCCATCATCACCAAGATGACCCTCACCCAGGTGTCCACCTGGTTCGCCAACGCGCGCCGGCGCCTCAAGAAGGAGAACAAGATGACGTGGACCCCGAGGAACCGGAGCGAGGACGAGGAGGAGGAGGAGAACATCGACCTGGAGAAGAACGACGAGGACGAGCCGCAGAAGCCCGAGGACAAGGGCGACCCCTCGGGCCCCGAAGCAGGTTGGTGCGGGAAGGGGTGTGCGGAGTGAGAGTAAGAGCCTGGAAAGGGCGGGAGGGGGGACGTGCGGAGAAGGGGCGCCCAGGGCCAGGAGGTTGGGTTGGAGTCTTTGCTTTGCGGGCTGGGATGTGCTCCCCCTCCCCCTGCCTGGAGGCCTCTAGGCGGCTCACGGCCTGGGTTTCGCCCGCAGGAGGAGCGGAGCCGAAAGCGGCTGCGGGCTGCGAAAGGCTGCAGGGGCCGTCCACGCCCGCCGGCAA